ATTACCTTCGCCATATATACTGATAGCTAACTGATACAGCGCCGCTTGATGTATGTGCGAATGGAATGCTACGCTGACAGTCTCTGTGCGTTTTGGCTTGAATCTATTCACACCACATAGGCGCTACACTACACACACACACACACACTAACCTTCCTCGTGCCCACACAGCTCCGTCTTATGTATGTGCGATTGGAATGCTACGCTGACAGTCTCTGTGCGTTTTGGCTTGACTCCTCTCACACAACATACTCTATTCCCACTACACCACATAGTTTTGATTCGTCTCCGCAGCTTTGCTACATGTCTTGTTTGATACTTACACTGTTTTCTACCGTTAGTTTGTGCGTGCACCTGTTCCTGATCTCCGTCGTCATCACTCCCCTTCGTTTGTATGTATTCTGGACATTTATGTTGTTACTTAGTGTTGTTTAACATTAAACAACCTTTTGTTTTGTACTAGCACCAGGGTCAGCAATCTTGAGTCCTACCCCTAGTTCTCCCTCACCCTCCTGGCGAGGGGGACTAACCATAACATTAGGTTCTACATGTGTGTGTAGAACAGAACTGGAAAGGAATATTTTGCCACCCTTGGCTTGTCCTTCAGGCTGGGAGACTGACACATATTTGTAGTAACTCATTTTGCTGTAGACCAAAAGTTCTACTGACTCCACTATATAAAACTGCACAGTAGCCGCACAGTTGGTGTAAATGCATGTATTTGTATGAAAACATCTGCATGTATGTTATGTTTGGTTCTGTTTATTTAACCATATGTATATTTCTGTCTTGCACATTTTTAAATGCATAACTGCACATGAACATGTGAACACACTCATAAATCCTGGCACACCCATATATCCACATATTATATCTACAGTTGCATTTCATTCAGTCTCATTTATCCCTTGTGGAACCTCTGCTTTATGGCTGACGTCTGTTTTGTGTGTTTTGTTATTCTTTTCCTTATCCCATCTTTCCACCGCATGCTCATTAGTATTGGTGTGCTGGCATTAATTTCACTGGGGCTCTAATTTGTTTAGTGTGTAGGGAGGGAATGTGGGAGATGGATTCAGCCGTCACATCATGGTGGAGGTGGTGTTAGTGATGTGTTTTGTCACGGGGCTGATGTATGCTCAGGGGCCAGCAGGCCAAGGCCCAGGGGCTGGCTGCCTCTGCTGTTCTGATGGATGACTGGCAGGCATCTTGTTAAGAGTGGCCCATCATTGCTGCAAGGTGAGGAGGACTGTGGCTTTCCAGCGTTGTTTTGCTACAGCATCCAAACAGAGTAGCTTACAAGAGAACTGTCCAAGACAACAACTAGACAAATTTGCTGTTGTATAGATGCAATATTGTACCCAAGCCTTAGCGTCATGCTGTAATGTGAAAAAATAGATCCCATTCTGGATAATTTGCCATTGTATGCTTGTGCTAGAATAGTACATGTACAGGGTCCTTAACAAACTGAATGTTGGTACTGACTTCATTTCAACCTCTATATTCTTTATATTTGGTCAGTTGTAACAATCCCATATTTGACTCTGGTGTGTCAAATCCCTTAGGATTTGAAACATGTTGCTTGTTTATTTTCATGGTAATGGCTAAAAATTATATAATAATTCTAATCAGTTACTGTCCAGCTCAAGGGATATACTGTATGTGCATGGTAAATTTTGTGGGCTTTCATTCATACAATTTGAATTTTAGATATCTTGCTGATAGACAAAGCTCCTTGGCTAAGGCAGGAAATTACTTAGTCGTTCTGCATTAAGGAAAGAAGGCCACTAAAATACACAGACATTCATTCTCTCCAAATTATAAGGATTAGGGCTACAGTGCTTAAATGCAAAGACAGCTGGGATCACTGTGTGTCCTCAACATAGTGGGCACTTTGGACCGATGACCTAGTCTCACATTTTGTCTTCCTGAGTCTTTGGTTTAAACTGGTCTACCATGTCTTAAGATACAAGCTTTTTAAGATGACCAGATTAAATCCATCCATCAGATATTACAAATTCTGAATTTTCTTTTAGCTTCAGCAGTAGGCTAGCGCAACCACCTACACCATCCTCTCATCAGTCAGGAGGCAGTGAGTCACACACAAGGAAGACCTAGTGAAGTGTGAGTAATTTACCATACTGGAATATGTAAACCCATCTCTGTTAGTACACACAAACACATACACAGATACTGTATGCTGTTTATTCTCTTCCAGCCTCCAGTCAATCCCCCTGGACTGACCTCAGACATTTCTCACTGGCTCCTTGTTGCTAAGAGCCCCCCCCCCCACTCTTCGACCTCTCACATGCCTGCTCGGG